CCTTTCCTTCCTTCTTCCCTTCCTTTCTTTTTCTATTGTTATAGGTGTCTCTTTCGGATCCCAATTCATGTTTTCTCGGGGATGGTATTTCCACACACCCAACACTTCTATTCAGCTTACCTATGTAGAAAATGGCATCCGATGCCGAGATTCCATACTGCTGTTCCAAGTATTTGGGCATAAAAGTAATCATCCCAATCCAAGCGCTGAATTGAAATATGGTAATACAATGGAAAAGCATGTAAACCCGGTTGTGAAATAGACTCTTCAGGTAAGGAACAAAATCTGGAAACCAAACCAAAAAAAAGGATCTCAGCTTCTTGGCAGTCTTTGGTTCCAATGGAAGTTTTGCTTCCTACACTTTCTCTCCCTTATGCATATAGGTCCACTGTTATGTATTTGTTATTGACTGGTATTTTGAGGATAACGTGTTTTGGGGGTTTGTTTTTTGTTTTGTTTGTTTTGCTCACCCTTGTAAAGTTCACGTAGTTTTATTTTTGCCTGGCTCTTGTTTTCTGCTTGTAGGAGGGATTTGTTTCTCTTGGCTGTCACATCAGTGTTGTCTTCTTCCCCTTCTTTTATCAGAGTCTTGGGCAAGAAGCATAAAGCGATTGCAACAAGGAAATTTGCAAAGGCACATACTAGAGTTCCCAGCCACCAAGCACCGACCCAACGGGCATCCGTGAGGTTTATCATCACCTCCTCTGGTGAGAAAAGAAGTTTAAGAGGCATTAGTTAGGCTTAGGGGTTATAGAGAGAGGGAAGGTAGAGACAATGGGGAGAGTTGTTACCAAAGTCTTCCTTCTTTATTAATTTTTATCTTCAGCACAAAACTCCCACTTTTTAAATATGTACCACATTTTTTGGAGTATAAGACGTTCCGGAGTATAAGACACATCTTAGTTTTGGGGGAGGAAAATAAGAAAAAAAATCTTTGCCTATCAGCATCCATGGTATTCATCTGGCTAGCATCCTGTCAGTGTGTGAGAGAGTTGAGGGCTGTTTGGAAACAAACAGTATTTGCCATGTGAGCAACAAGGAAGGAGACAGCAAGGAGCCAGGGCATGGCTTGTTCTGTACTAAAGCTCCATGCTGTGCTGATATCTGAAACTAAAACTGAAAG